GGGGGGACTGCAAATGTTTCTTTCCAAGTTTAAGAAGGGTTTGGCGTTGGTTCTGCAGAGCATTGCAGCGCCTAGCGTGTGAAATGCCCGCGTTAAGGTTTGCATAGCATTGCAATGCCTGCGTTGCTTTGTATTGGGGGGACGAGAGCATCCGACGTGCTTTTCTGAGCGATCCGTCGAAGTTCCTTCGAAACCGAATGAGCTGCTTGTGTGTGTGTGTGTGTGTCTTTCAAGCGCCAGTTTAGGTTCTCCTCCCGTCCCCTCCACTTAACGGCTTAGTCTGACAGACGAGCACTTTTCCGCGCAACCCGCAGCTGCTCACGTGGGAAGGCACATGGCCAAGAGCAAGTAGCCGGGCCTCTTCGGGCGCCAGTCCTGCGCACACGCGCGTTGCGGTCGAGATGCAGCCGTGGGCAAAGGCGCTCGAGAGTATGCCTCGTTGGACTGAGCAGGACTCCCGAGGAAACGGGGTGGTGGGGATCGGCCTCCAGCTTGGCTGTTCGACGCTGAAGTAGACATAAGCCGCGGGAACGAACGAATTGCATGCGCTGGGAAGCAAGTCCACGGTCACACACTCTAAATAGTCCAATTTCAGTGCACTTTCCAACCGGGTTTTTTGCCAGTTCACACACTAAAATCCAGTTGGAAAGTGCATTGTTTAGTGTGTGTGACCCCAGCCCCATTTAGTACAGCAGGAGTTGCTCACAGGGCAGTGTGTGTATGAGATTTACCTCAGAATCGGATGACGTTGCCTTTGGTTTAGCTGGGGAGTGGAGGGAGCTATGCCCTGGAATTTGAAGCCAGGGACAGGCCCGGGAGAGAACAGGAAGATAGATGCTACTGGCCAGCTGCAGTTGACAGAATGGAAAGGAATTGTGGCATCTGTGATAGAGATCCAAGAAGGGGCTCCTGGAGAAATCTGACCCTTGGTGGTGGATATAGTGCTTACCTGTCACAATCATCTCTGGGAAGGAGTCATCATTTCTTGTCTCCTTGAGTGAGTAGAGCTGGCTGCAGTTTAATCCCGTAGCACACTTTCTCGGCGCTACGCAAGACCTGAAGGAGATTTAAAGAAAAACAAACAACAGGAACCATGTATTGAAAATTAATTTATTTTACATGCTGCCATTCTAGTCAGCTTGGTGTAGTGGTTAAGTGTGTGGACTCTAATCTGGGAGAACCGGGTTTGATTCCCCACTCCTCCACTTGCACCTGCTGGATGACCTTGGGCAAGCCATAGTTCTGGCACAGCTGTTCTTGAAAAAGAGCAGTTTCTGTCAAGAGCTCTCTCAGCCCCGCCTGCCTCACAGGGTGTCTGTTGTGGGGAGGGGAAGGGAAAGGAGTTTGTAAGCCGCTCTGAGACTCCTTTGGGTAGTGAAGGGCGGGGTATAAATCCAATCTCTTCTCTTCTAGTCCACAAATGAATTCTGGCAACAACTCGGCAATCATTAAAAGCACGCAAGAAAACATCAGTGAAATCAGTTCAGATAACATGAAGTGGACACATAGCCCAATCTTGTCAGCTCTGGGAAGCTGAGCATGGATGGCCCTGGTCAGTGTTTGGTTGGGAGACCACCAGGGAAGTCCACAGTTTGCAGTGGCACACCAACTCTGAGCATCTCTTGCCTTGAGAATCCGTTAGGGTCAACCGTAAGTCAGCTGCAACTTGACAACCAAAAAAGCAGAGGACCCCAGTACAGCTTAATAAATTCAATTTCAACAGCTACCGGCAAGAAGTTTTCCTCATTAGGTATGTCCTAATCAGCATTCTAAAAAGAGGCCAGAGTTAGACAGTGAGCTAGGTGAGCCTTTGTGGACATCGGGCATTCCAGAAAACTGTTCCCTCTGCTGGAAAAAGCCCTGCGCCTGTCTAATTTCTGGAAGCGGAAGGGAGTGTGCCAGTGTTGACTAGTGGTTAGAGTGCTGGCCTAGGAGATCTGAGTTCAAGTTTCCACTCTGCATTGGAACTCACGGGGTGACCTTGGACCAACTCCTCTCAGCTTAACCTACCTCATAAAGCTTTTGTGAAGATGAAATGGGCAGAGGATAACCGTGAATGCTACCCTGAGCTCATTGGAGGAAGGTTGCTTGTCACTAGGCCTCTTTGGAAGTACTGTGGGCTTGTGTTTGGGAGGAGACACTCTTATATTGTTTCTCTATTTCACCACTACTCTCATGGGTACGAAGGAGCAAAATGCTTTACAGTCCTGACTTCGCCCTGACCTGGCTAGCCTGAGCTCATCAGATCTTGGAAGCTGAGCAGGGTCGGCCTTGGCTAGTATTTGGAAGGGCGACCTCCAAGGCATACCAGGGTTGTGATGGAGAGGCGGGCAATGGCAAAACCACCTCTGAAATGTCTCTTGCCTTAAAAAAACAAGTCTAGCTCACCACCTAGTGATGCCTTGTAGGGGAGGGCGGTTTTTAAAAAAATCTAATTTAATAAATAAATAATAACACTAAAAGAGCTAGAACGCCTGGCTGCCAGGCAATCTTAGGATCTCCTGGCCATTTTACACACCATGTGATATGATAACTATTATTATTCGTCCTGACTTCAGTTTCCCTCTCAACAGTCCTGTGAGGAGGGTTAATCTGAATCAAGGGAAGAGTGACTTACTTGAGGACCGGCCAGTGAGAGTCATGGCTGAAATCTGAACCCTGGTCAAGGACTTGGTTCTTATTTATTTATTTAAAAACATTCATTAGCCACCTTTCTTCCTGATATTAAAAACATAAAACCCAAAATGCTTCAAAAAGAGCCCCGGCCATTTCAGTCCAAACACAACCCTTCCTCCATCATCCGTCCCATCATGCTGAGAATTATCTCTGGGATGAGGTCTCTTTTGGGTGCTTCCATCGCAACCAGCTGAGCTCCTGCTGTAGCTGCTACAGTCTCTGCTTTGGGCTTCTTGACTTCCGCTATTATGTTGTCAGTTGGAACAGTGTTCTGGTCTTCCACATGAATGACTGCTGTTGGCTGGGAATGTTTTGGTTGGTTGGCTATCACCTTCATGGTTGTTACTCTCTTGCTTTAATTTTTTTGGGGGGGGTTTGCCGTCAAGTTGCAACTGACTTATGGTGACCCTGTAGGGTTTTCAAGGCAAGTGTTGGGATAGGTACAAGTTATTTCCCTGATGTCATGAAAGAGTCAATATGTTTGTTTGTGCATGCTGATTTCCTAGTTAGTTTGCTTAGGACAAATAGAGTAGTCTGCATGTCTCTCCCACCAAAGAATAGGCGACAGTATTCAAAGTAAGTTGCTATTGGAATTGACTGCTGGCTAATCAATAGATCTGAAGATGTCCCAGGGGTGGAGGCTTAGGTAACTTTTGCTGCCTTTGTTCTAACTCTTGCCTGGGGCACACACACGAGGATTAGCCATTACAGAGACAAGATGTAGATTACAGAGCTAGACAGAATGTTTCTTGTTTTGAACTCCCAGTTCCCTTTTCCCCTAAGTAATTAGTAACCTTTATCTTTTAAGTTAATACACACATGCGTGCTGCATTTCTTTTACTCTGCAATATTAAATACCTAACAGAGATGTTCAGAAGTGGTTTGCATTGCCTGCCTCTGCATAGTGCCCCTACTGTTCTTTGGTGGTCTCCCGTTCAAATACCAACCAGGGCTGACCCTGCTTAACTTCTGAGGTCTGATGAGATCGGAAGCCTTCATGATATCTTGCTACCATGAAGTAGTGAAATCACAGGCTTCATGTCTCCTGGAGTCTGATTATGGGGAGGCCAGGATTTTGCATGGGACCTGTCCTTCGGTTGTTATCTTTTAGTGTGTGGGTAAAGTGCCATCAAGTTGCAGCCAATTTATGGCAACCTCATAGGGTTTTCATGGCAAGTGATTAAGCAGAGGTGGTTTGCCATTGCTTCCGTGGTGGTCTCTCATCCAAGTACTGACACCACTTAGCTTTGGAGATCTAGCTGTACTATACCATTCCCCATCCCCAGTATGGTTTAGTAGGGGAAGATTGTGCAAGATTTTGAGCTCACCAGAACTGTTCATCAGGTTGGATGTAACTACACCAAAAAGGGGGGGGGGAGATATTTCAGATGATGATCATGAAACCTAGCAGTGCCAGACTTGGTGTGAGACACCAGCAGGCTTGTCATTTATTTGCTGCTGGTGTTAAAACACTTGCATACTGGGAGGAAGAAATAAACAACGATGGAGAGTCATCTCATTGGAAAAATAAAGGCCAGCAAAGTCCAAATGGCACTCAAAAGCCAGGTGAGAAGCGCAGTTCTCTGTGAAGGCTGGCTGCAGAAGGAAGCAATTGGATAGACTTCATAGTAATATGTTTGAGATAAAGTTAAGATGGTCCACAAGAATGAAGCCAAATTGGATAGGTCTAAAATCAGCCATTTCCCCAGGCTGGTTCCCTGGGACAAACCACTCTCTTGGGTGAAATTAGGTATCCATAGAGTTGAAAAAAGTTGTATTGGCCCGTGCAGAATTCAGAACAGAAAACAAAATCCATATAATACCTTGTATTAAGGCCAGCCTAATATTATTTTCCAATTATAATGTATCAACAGAAGAAAAGAAGCTAAATTATTAGTATTCTAATAATTCTGTTGTCTTTGGATTTAGGATTATCTCCCACTGCCAAGGTCTCTGAAGATCACTGAGGATGACAAAAATAGGTTTCTTTCTATTGCACTTCTGAACAATTATATTTCATAACTCAGCCCAGCAAATAAACTCTGGCCCTTTCTGCATTATCCTTTTAATCCATGTTCACCGTGGTGTCCTCCAAGAAAATCTGCATTAAAATTGAATTCAACCTTCTTTTTAATCCAGGTTTTCCCCCCATTCTGCACTTAAATCGAGTTCAACCTTCTTTTTATTCGATTTCTTTCCCCCCATTCTGCATTACATTACCTCCCTTCAGTGGTCAGACCGGTTTCAGCCTGCTGTTGCCCCGGGTTATTTGGATG